AAAAAAGATAATATAACCAGGAAATCAGAATCTGATAAAGGTCTGAAGCAAGAAGTAAAGTTTCACAGGTACAAAATCTTAATAAATTTGTAATAATGTATCACATGAACTTTAATTTGACCCTTTATATATAAGGTGTAATGATAAAGCATTTCGCAAATAAGAATACTTCTGGTTTATAAAAGTGTAAAATCTGATATCGTTATTATTTTTTTCATAGTATGTAATTCTTGAGTTAAGCTCGCCGGCAATAACTCAACAAATGAAATTCAATACAGTATTTTCACCTCCAGCGTATACAGCACAAACATTTACAGCACCAACATATACAGCACCTACAGTACCAACATATACAGCATCTACAGCACCTTTTACAATGCCAACTTCTACAGTTCCACAACAGCAGGTTATTCTAATTGCAGGAAATACATCTACATTACCATTAAGCGATGGTGCACAAAATACCCAAATGATTTCAATAGATCCTTCACAATTAAATCAAATATTAGCTGTTACTCAACAACGGCGATACCAGCAATACTAGGATAATTTAAAAATTCCGCTTACACCTCTAACAAAAGATTAAATCGATTAAATCTTATTTATTGCACGAGTTTTATGTAACAACCCGTGCTTTTTTCACTCATTTACAGCACGTGTTTAAAAAAAACTAAAAACACTTTCATATTTATCAAATATGAATTTTTCGATCTATTTTTATTAAATTGATTTGTCTACATTTTTAAAATTATCGTCGCAGCATTAGGCCTTTTTAAACTGTCATTGGATGGTGCTGACATCAGTTTGTTTTTGTTTTCTTTAAAATCGTCTTGTATTGATCATAATATAATTAATTAATCTTTAAAATCATATTGAATGAAGATAAGTCGTCACTTCTTAAACAGAATTGCACATTTTAGATTTTGCTTTTTTAAAATTCTTATCGCTTTCTTTATAATTCTTACTAGACAGAATTACACGTTATTAGATTTTACTCTAAAATTCTTGTTGTACGAAGTTGCACGTTATTAAGTTTTTACTTTCTTAAATTTTGTTAGGCTAAGTCATATATAATTAAATCTTCTCTAGTTTATAATTCTTAATAAACAGAATTACATATTATTAGTTTTTTTTTTAAAAAATTCTCATTTTACATATTCCTGAAGATAAAAAATTTTTTTGCTTTGCTCTTAATACAAGTTTAAATTTTTATAATCCACATACTTTGTTCGTCTCTACAAGAGTGTACGTTGTTTATATTCTTTAGTCTTCATTCTATGCATTCTTATTAGACGGAATCATATGTTATTTTGTTTTTACTTTTTCATTGTACGGGATCTTTACATTATTAAAGTTTTGCCTTTCTTAAAGCTTTTGGATAAGATTATATTAATTAGGCTTTTACTTAATTGGGTTTTATTCTTCGCCTTTTTAAAAAATCCTTATTGAATAAAGTCTTCATAACAACAACGTTAAACTTTTCTTTTATTGATGTGAAAGACAGATTGTTAAATAAGACCCGTACGATAATACATCGTACAGTACTTATAGTTGTCCCAAAGAGGTAGATTAGTCATGTCACAAAAAAATTGGCAGTGACGTGATACATAAGTCACTCAGGCTATATTTCATTCGGGATCCAAAAAGTTTTATAAAAAATTCTTAAGAGCATTTTTAGACCCGAATAATAAGTATATAAAATTAAGGGTAGAGTAGTGTTGGTCACCGAAACCTTTTTGGCCAAATCCGAAAGTTTCGGGTTTCGGATTATAGTTTCCGAAACCTTAACTGAAACTCGAAACCTTACCCGAAACCCGAAACCTCACCCGAAACCTGAAACCTCACCCAAAACCCGAAACCTCACCTGAAACCCAAAACCTTACCCGAAACCCAAAATCTTGCCTAAAACATGAAACTCTACTAAAATCTAAAATATTTTCAAAACCTGAAACTTTATCTGAAACTTGAAATTTTATTTTAGTTATTTTTATAAATTCTAGAATATTTAACAAAAAATTTGCTAAACATTTTTTTAGCCAATTTAATAAAGTTAATAATTTTGGCATAATATATTTAATATAAAATTTAAGATTAGATAACTAATATAAAATTTTTATAAAATTTTTGTTCAAAATTGTTTGAAATAGTTTTGATTTTTAAACAAGAGTTTATT